CTGTGATGTTAGTTTAATGTTCTGTTTGTAATTGGGAAACCATTCTTGAGGGAATCTTGAATTCTGTTTATGGTATGCCCTAATACATCTAATTTGATATTTGTAAATATATGGAATTATATGTATTGAATTTTAATAAATACAAAAATATAAATACACAGTAGCAGACCTCAACTCGAAGATTCAAGACCTAGACAGCGAGAAACAGAGCCTCAAAACCGCGCTAAAAATCCTATACGCTGACTTGGAGACCGCGGAAGGAAATCAGCGACCGAATGATAACCTAAAGCCCAACAACACCCGTGGGTTGAAGCACATGGCAAAACGAAAAGTAACCCAACTAACCCTGAATTGAATAATAGCAACAAATATTCGGCTTTGCATATTGAGGACGACGGAGAAATGGACAATAGTGATGACGAAATTCAAGTTATAGAAAATTCTTCTGGGAGTAAAAGTAAACACTCTTCGCATCATATACCTAAAGCAAAGGCGCCCAGTAAACCACAAGACCCTGGACCTTACAGATACAGTAATAAAAATAACGGAATCAACAACCCAGCATCAGTACAACAACGAAAGATTGCCATCCTAGGAGATTCGATGATAAAGCACTTGAACCCTAGAAGACTACAACATGGGCTTAAACATAAGATCATGGTAAAAACATTCCCGGGTGCGCATGTAGAGGACATGAGCCATTACGTGAAGCCAACTTTAACCACAAATCCAGCCGAAGTAATTCTACATATCGGCACAAACGACTTGAAGAAAAAGTCACCCAGTACCTTGCTTAAATCTGTATAGATGACCTTGGTGAGGTGATTACCCAGAATAAAGACATCAAGCCGTTATCAGAAATTATAACAAGAAGCGACGACGAAAGTTTAGCTGATAAGGTAAATCTATATAATGAACTTTTAGCTAACCTCTGCATAGAACGAAATTGGGGACTCATTAAAAACACTAATATAAAGAAAGGTCATTTAAATAATTATGGACTTCATTTAAATGAAAGTGGTTCGGCGGTCCTAGCTAAGAATATCAAACATGTAAGTAACAATATGGATTGACTGTGTAAGGAAATTCCAGCACTCAGCTTACATGATACAGTAAAACTTGGTAATGATCCTTATCTAAAGTTAAAAGGCTTTAAAATTGGCCATCTAAATATTACGAGTCTTCCAAAAACATATAGATGAGCTAAGAATTTTCATGCATGAGGTAAGCTTCGATTTACTAAGTATTAATGAAACAAGACTTGACGACTCTATACACAATGACGAAGTTAAGATCCCGGGCTTTGACATTGTAAGAAAAGATAGAAATCGAAACGGGGGGTGTTGCAATTTACTTACGAATAGGGTTGGGCGATATTAAAAAAATCATCTCACGATTATTGTCGAGGAAATTATCACGATATTCGATAATATCGCGATAAATGCAATAAAAACAATGACCACATTTTTCAATTTTAATTAATATCAAAGCATAGTAAGCTTATATAATCTTATTAAAAACAAGTAAAACAACAAATTAAAGTAAAATGAAGGCTTTTTCTAGTCTAATATTTACTGTTCATAAACCAGAAGTCTATGCAGTGTCTACTGTCTCTCCGCAGGCACAAATGCCGTGGGCACACAGCGCAAGCAAAGCCTGCAATTTCATTGTTCAGCGGCTTACTAATTTACCAAGGCTTTCTAACTTACCAATGATTACTAGATTACCAAGGATTACTAGATTACCAATGATTAATTACTAGTTTACCAAGGAGTACTAGATTACCAGTGATAAGTAGGGATAATTACGATGTATAAAAGTTAGAATGGTACAGTATATTAATTGGTGACCGTAACACCAAGGCTTAACCAATATCGTATTAAATTTGTATTTAATTCAGGAAATAGTTTTAATTCTTTTAAAAACTATATTTTCTAGGAATTGAAGGAATTTTTTAGGATTTTTATAAAAGCTATATTCACATGCGAAGCAATATCACGATAGTCAACGAGCATGATGATAATTTCGATATATCGTCGTCAAGTTTCTACCCTCGATACGATAATCGCGAATGAAAATATCACGATAAATCAAAATATCGAAATATCGCCCAACCCTACTTACGAAATACAATTCCTCACACCGTGCGAGATGATTTAATTCCAACTTGAAATCAATAAACCAAAAAATAAACCCATGCTAGTGTCGACTTGGTATCGTCCGCCAGACTCGAGCATAGAACTATTTGACAAATTTGAAAACTTCTTACAAAAAGCAGATGATGAAAACAAGGAACTCATTATAACAGGCGACCTAAACTGCAACCTTTTAGCCACTGAGAAAAATTCTCACATTAAGAAACTTAATGACCTAATGGATGTTTATCAATTAAAACATTACAACAGCATATACAGTGTCCGACAAGGGTTACCATTACCACCAAAACTTTGTTGGACTTAATTCTAACAAAAATAGACCATACCAAGACTGTAAATGCTGGGGTGATACACTTGGGAATAAGTGATCATAGCTTAGTTTTTATATGCAGAAAAATTAGCATCCCAAAAGCGAAGCCAAAAATTGTCGAAACAAGACAATTTAAACATTTTAATGCGGCTCAATTTCAACATGATTTAAAGTAATGCGTTTAGTTTATTTCCAAGCTATACAGACCCAAACATAGCATGGCAAACTTGGAAAGAAATTTTCCTTGAAATTGCTGATCTTCATGCACCAGTCAGACGACGAAAAGTCAAAAGCGAATACAAACCATGGCTAACTAATGAAATCAAAACTATGAGTTATCATAGAGATTATCTAAAGTTAATGGAACAATTGCTCTTTTGACCGGCTAAGGAATAAGAATAGACACAGACAGCTTTTGTGTGGGAGAATGGGTTATGGGGGTGAAGTACTCCTGT